ATGGTGCTTGGTGGAAAAAAAAAAAAAAACCTGCACCTGTATGTCTCATTGTCTTTTTCCTCATCACACGCCTCCCTCTAATCCCTACTTTCCCTCTCTGACTCTCACTTGTCTCCCTGATGCTTTCGCTGCCTCCCTCTTTCACCATCAGCATTCCTGAAGGTGTTCAGCATGTTCTATTTATGTGACAACCACACATCCGTCTGTCACACCGCACAATGTGACACACAAACACACACACACACGCACACGTACCACTCAACCTATACTTAGTCGGCTGGTGTTTCAGCGTGGGAGCCGAATTTGACGAAGTCCGTCTCTTGCCTGGGGATTGTGGTGGTGGTGGGGGGGTGCTCATGAAAACGCATTATATTCACGTTGAATATGACTATTCTCCATTACTCTCTGTTCCTGTTAGGCTGGCTGTGATCTGATGTGGCTGGAAAGGACTCGCTGGTTGTGTCTGGAGTTACACATTTCACTGAGAGTCGTGTCGACAGTCCCGCTGAAGGGGAGAGCCGAACTCGTTCTGAACGTAATCTGTCTGAAGATTTAAGGGGGGTGACCCGCCGTTCATCACGTTGGGCCTTTTTAAACTTCGCCGCTGCTTTATATGCTTCGACACCGACATTACCTCTCAGAAAATCGGATTGCTCTTGTCTAAAGAGAGCAACAATGAGAGGAGGAACTATCTCAGCCTCACCAGTATAACTAGACTACAGCACTTCTGCGGCTCCTCTAAGCTTCGTGCAAATACACCGACGACAGTTAGAGAGAAAGAGCTATGGTACACATGCAGTATTTGTACAGTGATGTATAATTACAATAATGTGCTAATAACCACAAAATGAATTATCTTTTTAAAAAACTGCAGCGTACAAACTGCGACTCTGTGTGACAGCTCACCTGTCCAACGTGAAGGAAAGTACACAGTGTGACCTGCTGTTAGATAATTAATGAAGCTAGTGCTGTTGTTCCATGTGCAAAAGTGCACACAGCTCGCTCTCTTTAGAGTAGCTCATCCTGCTGCTATCTGTAGCCGCTTCTGTTTATTTCAATCAGAGAAAAGACTCCTACAAACAGCTGGAAGCGACAAAGTAAACTACAGCTGCTGTTAACATTCTGCCAAAACCCAAATTACATTTATTATTGGAGATTCTCTTTAATCCGACATGTTCCTCCATCTCTATCACATTAAAGTCTCATTTTTCTGGACATTTCAGTTCATATTAGGTGTGAAATTTTACAGTAAATGAATTATAAAGGTGTTTTTATCGTTTTGGCAGACGCCCTGTGTCTTTTACTCTCTGTGATGTTCTGATGACTAAAGAAACTGGTTGTGAAATGTGGCAAAAGCGCGCCCACAATCGCTTCACACGAGTCGAAGTAAGTTGCCTCCGTGTGGCTCTCTGCTAATACAACGGCCTGCAGATCAGACTTGTGTTTGAAAAACTGCATGGAAATGGTACTCAGCTTAACCTCGTACGGTTAGTGTTGTGACTTCTATGGAAAAGTGACTCCTATAGACGTGAAACCGACTCGTTCAGATGCTGTCAGATTAACGGAAAGGAAGGCATGTCTGAAAGGGGCTTATGGAGCAGCTCATGTGTCACTCAGGGCACATATTTACCGAACTTCTAAGAAATAAAATGCTCTTAAAAAGCAACTGCAGAGCATTAGCAAAAACTCACGTTTATCAAACTACTTAATCCTACACACAGCAAAGCGTAAGAGTAACAATCACATGTGTGCGCTGAGCAGAGGGAGGAATTTCCTGGTTTCTTGTTCATCCTTTGAACTACATTTCATAACGGGGCCTGATGTGCTTTCCTAAACAAAACAACTAAACAAAACATGACGTAATTTTAATTTTCAAAGAAGTTCACTGTATTTGTGTGATTTTTTTTTTTGGCATCTTTGAGGCAAAAACAATGTCAAAGTAACAATCTAATGTGAACTCTTTGGAAAATACCTGAGTTGGGAACAAAGACAATAAGAAACTCTGCAAAAAGAGGGAGACAGATCAGAAAAATCATAAAGGACATTCAGTACCACAATAGCATGTGAAGGGAAGAAGTGCTTGCAAGCTCAATTAATTTCTGCTTTAATCGTTCTGTTTGTGCACCAAAAGTTGTGTAGCATCATACCTAATTCTGACTGCACCACTCAATCCTGAATTATGCAAACTGCCAAGGTTTTCTCTTCTATTATAAGACTCGGCACAGCAACGGTTTCATGCAACACCTAAGACAAATGAAACAGAAAAACCATGCTGAGACTTTTCTCTCTGGAGACAAAGGAAAAGGTTTTGGCCCAAATTCAGCACCGTTCACAGTGAGTCACCGAGAGTTAATCAGCGATAAAAGTGTTTGGTCACCCCGGTTTAATCTGCAGGAGATTGTGAAAGTAACGCATCGTACGGCAGAGGAGGAAATAAATTCACGATGAGGAGGAAATCGCCAGTCACAGATGATGAGCTCAAGAAGACGGTCTGAAAATGCTAACCCTGCACACGCCAACAGAAAGCCGGGGAAATCCCTGCATAGCTGCTTAAGCCATATATTTTTCATCGTGTCTGTTTAAAGCAGACATCAGAAGGTGGTTCCAGCAGCCTAAACACACACTGTCCAGTGCTGCAATCACTGCTGTAAGTCAGGTCTCGCAGCATTTCAAGGGCGAATGTTACAAATGACATATTAGCCATTGGTCATTAGTTATTTTAATGTGGACAAAAGTCTACAACCCTAAGGCCCACTGCTCTGTCTCTGTGTCACCTCCAGGTTTTCGGGGGCTTTAACAAGAAACTTGGGGATTTTTTTTTTCTTCTAGTGAGCCATTATTTATGCATTTAGTCAGAGTGGTTCAGAACCAAGAGCTATTTAAACTTGGGTGAGTCATTTTAGACTTTTTTTTTTTTGCTTTAAAACACATTAGAAGTAAAAGAGGTTCAATCCTAAGTGTGTTTATGTTGCAAGAAATATAAAAATGTTTCATTCCTGAGTTTGCAAATGTTAGTAAATGTGAAAGATTTTTACTTTCATCTTCCACTTTAGTCTAAAATTTCCCTTTTAGCAGCGCCAGGTCTCTCCAAGTGCAGTTTCTCACTACGTCACAATGTATTTGGGCTTAGCGGGGTTTATTTAGCGTGGCTGTGCAGTGCAGAGCTCATGCAATGCTGCTGTTTGCTTTTAAACACGGTGTCATCAGTGATTTGGCCTCATTCCACACACACACATGTCAGGACTTGATATCGATGACACATCCAAATGACAGTTTGGTGCTGATTTATGCACTTTTAACTGAATTGAAACACATGTAAAATCATTTCTGCGTGACTTGGGGAGGGAAAAAAAATCTCCTAAAATAATAGGCTTTCTGGCTTGTAAAACTTGATTTGTGGTTTGGCCTTTTTAAGACGATGAAAAGAAAAATCAGCTGACCCTGCATGCAGGATATTGGAATGGTTTTAATTAAATGAACGGCCCAATTACACTTAGGGGGGGAAAAAATATTAGCAGTCTGTGACAGTGAAAAATGTGTTAGGCTGAAGATGTCTGGGCAAGATACAGATTTTGGCTTTGCGGCATCAGTGTGTGCCACTGGTTCCCATCTCTGATAACATATAATATGGTTCAGACAGTGGAAAAGCACAACACTGATACGGGACAGATACCATCAGCTCCAGTCTATTGTGTACCACAGGAAATTAAGCCAAGGTGCAGGCTGGGCAAACAAATTGCGCATACAATCAGGAGCTTGTGCACGCACTGTAACTCGACACACGCATGCATGTACACAAACAGAAAGCTGGCTGCTGCCGACATAACAAACACAGAAAATGTGGCAATGGGCAGAAATCTAATTCAGGAAGAGTGTAGCGGTTAATAGAAAGAGAAAGTCCTGCAAGGAGGAATGTGAGTGGAGAAGGTGACCCAGACATCCTTCGAAACACCAAGTTATGGATGGGGAAATAGAAAACAAAGATGGTCAGTGAGTTCTAGGTAATAGTCTGAAGAAACTAGTGTCTCTGCATAGCCTACGATCCCCTCAGGAAAACAGTTTTTTTGCATTTCCTACACAGTTTTTAGACAGCAGAGTGAGCTCCTTCGCTCCACAAAAGGGTTTCAAAAGTTATGAAAAATGGTGCTACTTGTTAAAACAATGACAGACTGAGTCATGCAGAGTCTGGGCATTTAAAAAAAAACTGTTTGCACTAATCTGAGTGGAAGGAAGCTGCTCAGTTCCCCCGACTGGATGTAACCCAGAGGAGGGGTGGTGCACAGAAAACACACCACCTTTCCTCTGCCTTCATCATCCCATCACAGTGTGCTCCGGTTAATTTCACAAAGCTGTTATCAGCTTTTTTTCCTTTCCACCCCAAGTTGCTTGATCTTGATCTGCCTTTAATTTTCCAATCTGTCAGACTGAAGGAAACATTACAACTAGAAGTCCCCCATGGGAAACACAATGATGGCAAGAGATGAAACTTCATTTTCACTACCACAGACACTCCCTGGAGGAAGGATATTAGTGATGCCAAAGTACAATATTACAGGAATGTGATGGCAAAAAAAAAAAAAAATGATGTTGAGGAACTACAGGGCTGTCAGCAGCTTCATCTGCAAACACAGGGAGCAGACTGATAATCGCATTTGGAGGTTGCTGTTATTAGCCTGTTATTCCAGGGGAAAGCCTCGGGCTCGTGCAGCTACAATTGGTTTATTGAGGCACAAAACAACAAACACACACACCTCTTCCTCCTCACACTGACAGACCTTTACTGTACGTCTCATCACCGCTGACCCCAAAGTGCTGCGCCTCAAAGCGGCCATCAAATTTTAATTATGTTTTCGCCGACGTGCCTGTTATTCCTACAAACGTGGCTGCACGCACCGACATGTGAGGCTTGACCGACAAGTGGACAACACAAACACACACACGTAGGGCTTCTTGTGTCATGAAACACACACTCAGACTGCCTGCTAAGTTCCGATACTCACTGCGGCTGTGTTACTGCCCTCGGTTGTGAAATAAGGTCTGTGGAAGAAGAAGAACAACACACACACACAAAAAGCTCCAAAAAAAAAAAACGGCCCGGTCACATATCGTCTCCGGCTAATGTCAAAGCTCCTGGGAGGAGGCTGCGGACGGTCAGCCGAGGTGAGACGCTCTGTTTGGGGCTGTCTCTTCCCGTCTCTTGTCCGTGTCTTGTGTCTGTCTCCGTGTTTTCCGTCTTCCAGCTTCTTCCACTGGTGGCTTCCCCACCGCTCTGCTCGGGCGCTCCCGTGACGTCACCACGGTGGAGTGCGCGCCCCCGACACGTTACTCTTCCCCCCTCCCCTCCCCTCAACACCCTCCTCACTCCCTCCCACGCGGGGTCGCGCCTGTGCATAATAATAA